AGGAAGAGACGTTACTCCTCCTCTTCCACCTCGACCTCTTCCGTGTCGCCTCCACGACGTCGACAGGCTCATGCTTCTAAAAAATGCCCTGCTCCCGACGTCCAGAAGCAGCCTAACCCTGCCTCCACGTCGAGGGTTAAGACAATTCAACCATCTTCCCAGCCTCCTCTGCCAGAGGTTTCTAGTCATGGAATTCAATCTGATGATGACATACAACTTTCAGAGTCTTCCGAACAGGATGAAGGGATTTTTCCCTCGGTACGAGCTCAGTCAGACTCCTTTGAGTCTGATACGGGAAACCCTCATCCTTCCTCCCCTACAGAGGACTTCTCATCTTACTCATAGATGGTTATCCGTATGGCCAGTGTGCTAAATATGCAAACTATGGGAGCCTACCAAAAGCACTGATGGAATAAGATCCTACCAGCGCTCCAAGTCGCTCCTGAAGAGATTAGGCAGGAATGTTTAAGTGCCCATGCTGAGGCCATGGCCTTATCTAAACACCAAATCTTAGCTGCCCGTCATGCTACAGATGTGGCAGCTAAGTCTTTGAGTTCAGCGATTTCTTTTCGCCGTCATGCTTGGCTAAGAGCCTTGGGAATAGTAAAGGATGTAAAGAAACAGATTGAAGAGCAGGCTTTCGACACCAAAGGTTTGTTTAATGAGAAAACAGACGAATCTTTGAAATCTATACACGAGAGTAAGAAGACGGCAAAATCTTACACCATACATCCGCAACCACGGTTTCACAAGTCTCAGTGGCAAAGGACACTGCCACAACAGCAGTATCAACAACAATCTTCCCAGGCCTTTCGACCTTTCCGGGCTTCTCACTCTAGATCTTCTCAGCAATCCTCTGGCACACCTGTGTACAAACAGCAAACATCTCATAAGAGGCAGTCCTTTCGCTCATCGTCCAAGAAACCTAAACAGTACCTTTGACTCTCCAACTCCTTACCTGCTGGATCACCAAACAAGGCTCAACCCCTTTTTCAACAATTGGCAAAACATTTCAAAAGACAAATGGGTCCTAAAAATAATAAAGTTTGGTTACAAGCTAGAGTTTCTAGAACTTCCCCCTCTGGGATTCATAAAGACCACAACATCCAATCCCACCTTGGAAGAGGAAGTTTGCACTCTGCTTCAGAAGGGTGCCATCCAGCAGGTTCCTCATCAGGACATACTCAGGGGGTTTTACTCCCGATATTTCACCGTCCCAAAGAAGGAAGGAGGCCTTCGTCCCATACTAGATCTGCGAAACCTCAATACTTACCTCCAAACACGCCAATTCCGGATGGTCACGTTAGAGTCAATCATCCACCTGTTGAGAAAGGGAGATTG